CCCTAGAACGCATAGTAATAGCATTCGTGATGAAAATTTGAATGGAAATAATTTACACTGCCTGCTTCGAGTTCCGCGCATTGTCGTCTGGTTTTCTGTAATTAACTAAGTTTCGAGTCGTTGTCGTGAAATAAGTCTATTGTATTCTATATAATTAATTAGTTAAGTAGAGCTATAATGTATAAGTAAAACATGTAAATAACCATAGTATAATATGATTCTTGCCAGTCTGAAATATTATTCTTATAACTAAGAATATAACCCATATATGCCCAGAGGCACGAAAACGACCCAATGGTACATGTTCTCTTGCGATGCCAATTACAAAAAAACTGTATGTTTGTTTTCTGTTTTAGCGCTATAAATATATAATGTTGAAAGAACTTCCTAATCAAATATAACAGTTACTAAGTTCGTACGCCGCCACTTTTTTTAGAATTTGAAATTGAATTTCACAGATTTTTTTGTTGTTGAAAATTAGTGCACCCAGTCTTACAAAAATGTAAATATTTTTTTATGTATTCTGTTTTAAACGATTATTGCGATTGAAATATTGAAATGAATATATTTCCAAGGTAAATAACTAAGAAGTGTTATGAAAATATAAATATGTGCTTTGTTATTTTTTGCAAAAGTTCTGTTGGTCGAAAACGACCGCATGGGCATATATGAGACCAGAATGTACATTTTCATTGTATAAAGTATTTCAAATAAAAGTCGTGTTTATTATATAATTAGTTTATAATTTCATCAAATTATAGCAAATAGTGTAAAATACCTTGAATAATTACACAGTTAGTACAATTTAGGCACGAAATTCTGCAAAACACTTGTTTGTTTTTGCATAATGCACAATTCTTACGATTCTGACTGGTGAGGATCAAATGCTCAACACCATACAGCCTTTTAGAGGTATATTAGAGGGCACTGGGCGTGTTGAAGGTCCAGGCTGAGTTCGAGGAGATCCATTTGTAAGAAGCGAATTTCTAGTAATTTACCTTCGAAACATCAGTGTCTGCAGATGCTTCAAGAGATCTCGCTATTTCGGCAAAGTTATTGATGGGAAGGAAAAAAATGGTTCTAATGTTTTTGACATGGTTGATTGATGTCACCGACAATAATGACTCTGGAGTTTCGAAGGTCAATTGCTAGAAATTTGCTTCCAAAATATAGATCTCCTTGAACTCAGTCTACCTTCAACACACCCAGTGCCGTCTAATATACCACTAAGTGTAAGGCGATATGGCGCTGAGCATTTGATTGATCCTCACCGGTCAGATTCGTAGAAATTGTGCAGTATGCAACCACATAACTGTGAAGAATGCAGCAAGTGTAGTGTAAATCTCCATGACAAATGTTTTGCGGCCTAAATTGTACCAACTGTATTATTATTCAAGTTCCTATATAAACCAAATATGATTGTTATACACTATTTGCTATATTCTGTTCAAATTTGTAAACTAATTATATAATAAATACGACTATTATTTGAAAATACTTTATACTATGAACACCTACATTCTAGTCTCATATATGCCCAGGCGGTCGTTTTCGACCGACTGAAAAAAAATAGTTCCAAATCCTGAAATCCAAAAAATCATCTTGGTTCATGATTATGGGCCTATATAGAGTAAATATGCCAATATACATAAAAATCTGGGACCTAAATAGTTCTGGGCATATATGGGATAAAGTTCTAAAATATTAAAGAACACTCTGCGAAAAATCCAAATTATTATACAAATATTTACTTAATTAATTCTCTAACGGATGAGCAATAAATTACGTACATAATGTAAAGGACAGCTTGGCAAAACTATTAAAAATCATTATCCTGAATTCCATATTTTAAATACCTTCGCGAACTAAAACTTCTGTACGTAGTACTTATTATTATTCTGTGGTAAAACGAGGTCCACGCGTACGATGTCGCGGGCGGCCGCTAGTTTAAAAATATAGGATAGTTAAAATTATTACGGAGCTGTCCCTTACATAAGTAAAATTATTTTAAGATTTCTATCAAGTAAAATGACACCCTTATTTTTAAATGTAGCTAACATTGTGTATTGTGATGCATTTAATGTGAAGACGCGATGATGACAAAAGACAAGTAATAAATTGACTTGTTCTTAAGCCCAGGGCTACAATTAAGTGTTTTTTTTACATTCTGCCTTAAACTTATTATTGGTAAATGGTGTCAACAATCCAATTTATATTTCCTTAGAATATCACTGTCTTATTTTTATTTGTATTGCATCTAGAGTACAAACAACTAAATGCAAAGTAGCGTAAAGGATTTGTCACACTAGATGCGGTTTGCGGTTAGGTCAAAGTAACTGCAGCCCGCATCATGTATGATTGCTTTGACCTGACCACAGACCGCATCCAGTGTGGCAAATCCTTTATAATGTTACAATATTTTAGACAAATACTCTGGTCCTAAGTAAAACCCAAAATATGTCACAAAATCAATTGATCTAACTAAGGCAATGCGCAGCTCGAATTCATAATAATCGTAAATATTCAACAAGTTGTTATATTGTTAAGAAAAAAAACGGGGGATATAATTAAAGGTAATTTACTAATTAACAAACATGAAAAATAACAATAAATACACTCAACATCAAATAAATCGCACCTTCCGCGACGTGAACTTTAAAGATTTTCTTCCGACATAATCATGGTGCCCCAACAATATTGGTGTTAAATAAAAAGCCCAATAAATAAACTTAAAGAAAAACACACTTTTTTTTTATAAACAACTAGCTCTTGCCCGCGGCTTCACCCGCGTGAAAACGTTTGTATGGAAAAAAGAAAAGGGCTGTTTTTAGGATTTTCCCGGTAATTATTCGAATTTTAGCATTCCGCCCGCGTCTTTGCCCGGGGTTTACCCGGAAATATTCGAATTTTTCTTGCCGTAAAAATCATCCTTGGACTTCAACGAACATTAAAAAAAGAATTGGTAAAATTGGACCAGGCTTTGTTGAGTTATGCGCTTACCAACACATTTTGCGATTCATTTTTATATTATAGACTAGCGGCCGCCCGCGACTTCGTACGCGTGGATCCCGTTTTACCCCCTGCATCTATCTTACGCGGTTTAGATTTTTTCATACAAATGTTTTTTCCCGCTAACTCCCGTTCCCGTGGGAATTTTGCAATATCCTGTTGTAACTAAGCTTTAAGTTTACTAAGGTACCTGCATGCCAAATTTCAAGCGTCTAACTTAAGCGGTTTAGATTTTTTATACAAAAGGATTTTCCCGCTAATTCCTGTTCCCGTGGGAATTCCTAAGTATACTATAACCTGCCCAGGAGTATGAAGAATAACTGTACCAAGTTTCGTTCAAATCCGTCGAGTAGTTTTTGTTTCTATAAGGAACATACAGACGGACAGACAGACAGACAGACAAGACAGACAAAAATTTTACTGATTGCATTTTTGGCATCAGTATCGATCACTAATCACCCCCTGATAGTTATTTTGAAAATATATTTCATGTACAGAATTGACCTTTCTACAGATTTATTATAAAGTATAGATATAGATAGATTAAGAGGTACCATAAATGTGACTTGAAAAAAGGCCTCACTTGGGGCTCACCTCTGGGACCAAGTAGACCAGTTTTTGTTGTTATAAAACCAAATAATGATCTCACGTGTCCTCTTCAGATGGATAGCGATTAATCCCAATTTAGCAGTTTTATAGCCATAAAAGTTGTCTCAAGCGTAACTACCTGTCGAAGAGACTGGATCCTTCTAAAGACACATTTTTGGGGTAAAAACCTTTCCTTTAATGAAAACAAGTTTAGAACTAGGCTTTCAAATGGTACCAATATTGATGGGACGTGGGGATGCATACGTTTGAAAAGTGCTTGTCGCGGGAGGTGCGATTTATTTGACGCCGAGTGTACATATATTTGGTTCTAAATCTTATTAATAATGTTATCACACACATAATTAACATTAAATCATACTGTTTTGATACAATAATACTATTTAGCGATTAATAATACCATCACTTTGAATCTCATTTATTGCATTCTACTATCCCAATCTCGAATGTCCCAGTGAGATCTTGATATCGTTGAAATACAGGCTATGTTGCAACAAAAATATGTAGTCTAGTGCTATTGCTGTACTTCATTCATTTCAGTGTTATATGGACGGTCCGCATTGTGACTTCCGCGCCGAGCATTACCTTAGCCAATTAAAGCTATAAAATTAGACAATTTTTGTGGTATACAAGCCACTGGTGAATATATTTTTTTATATTATAATCAACATGAAATCCACCACTCTCTACACAAACGTAGACGCTTTTTGTGTCCAGTTGCTTCCACTGGACGGCGACTCGGTTTCCTATAATATGGTGCCGTGTCGGTACACAAAACTCTACCTATGTAAATAGCCACGGGGCTGCGCAACCGTGTGCAAAACCATTCACAAATTACTCACGTTTTAAATTATCATTCAGAATCAGACTATTCATTGTATTCTTGCATTCAAAATAGTATTGCCATGTTATTATTTTTATTTTCCAATTCTTGTCAACTACACTCAACCTTATCGAAATTGCTTATTATTACAATAATTTAAACATTCTTATCATACAACATTAGTAGAGCTACAGATCTGTTAAAACGACGAGCCTTACAAGCGTGTAAAAATGTACAACTTAAGACATACAACGATATAGATATTCATCAGTTTTAGTAAAAATATGAGGTCCAAGTTATAATGATATATATTTTCTATCTTATATTACTTAAATATATAGTATAATTCTAGAGGCTCTTCTATTGCTTTCATCGCATTGTGGAACTTTCGTCCTCAAGGGAACTTTGATAAAAAATATTATTTATGTAGATACATTCCTAATGATAAACCAGTCATCTTACTAAATTAGTATACGCTATAATAAATTTGTGATTTACATTTATTGCATTGCTTTCTGATATTTGTAAGAATACTACTTACCCTAAAATTTTTCTTTATAACTGATGTATATCTTGAGTCTTATGAGCTTATAATGTAAGCATCTTAACTACACATGAAACTCTTGCTAATGAACTAACAAAATCAATTCCAAAATATTTACATTATTATTCATTTTAATTTAATTACAATAAATATATTTTTTCCACCTGATGTAGTTTCGGTTAAACATTAACAGACATTTTCATGTGACGAAGTCGGTAAAACTATGCTATAAGAATCTTTTCGACCTAGTTTAAACCAACGTGAAATAAGATATTTCAAGGCAAGCTAAAAATTTCAAGGCAGAAGGAGAAGAAAAAAGTCATTCTCCTACCTAACTGCAATAAAGAACTTAAATATAAAAAGTCCAAGCTTTCCACTCAAAGAAACCATAATATTTGGTACTCGGTTGGAAGCTTGTCTATCGTCAAAAGGTTAGGGGAAGGCTAGCCTAATCAACATCAAATTGTCCGGTAGATTTATCGCAGTACTGAAATACTGAGAACAGTGTCATGCATAATCACAATAAAATTAACTATGAAGTTAACTATCTTTTTTGAAATTAACTATATTATTTGTTGTTTCTTTAGTACCTAATTAGTCCATATTGTAGCTTTTATTATTTGCTCCTTATTCGTTTAAATGTACCCCGACTGGTTGTTGTACACAAAACGAATGAACGACGTTATTTCTTTATTTGGTAAATACGTCTCAAATAATTTGGGGTATCCTTTATACGAAACATGGACTTCAATATTTTGAGCAATAAAGAAGACCTTATTTATGTATTACTTTTTTAGTCGGGATTCTCGACTTTTTAAATAATAAATACCATAACAAGCTTAAGCTATCGGGTACGAACCCTCAATACAAAATGGCTTAATATGTTGTTGTACCTTTAGGTGAAAAATAGTAAATTAAATACTTTATGTAAATACAGAATCGTTACTACATTAGGTAAATATACTCTTCAGAGGTCAAACACCAAGAAGGATAATACTAAACAGTTATAGCAGGTAGTAGATATTTTAGTAACATTTGTAGAAGTACAAATTAATTATACGATATTCCTATTACTTGAGTATACACTTCTGTATTGCTTGATTTTGTCACGTAGTTACAATATGATTGAATATCTATTTGGAGAAGTTTCGTGATGTTGAAAACATAATGTTTCACTGAATAGGCTTAAAATATAGATCAAAACTAAAAAGCTGGTGAAGTTATTTTTTTAATCCATCAAGAAATGGCTGAGAAATTAATTATTTAAATTACCTACATATTTTCGCATGCAACTCAAACATAGGCGGTGCCGTGACGCCACGCCACCTGTTCAAGTTTTGCAATGCTTACCACCCCTGACGCATTGTCGAGAATGACACTCTAATGTCAAAGTGTTCTTTTTCTAGAAAAAAATTGGAAACTTCTCCATTGTTTTAGATACAGTATTAGTTTTTTGTATGTGAGGCAGATCACAACCTATGTCAATAATAGCCTTAGTCCTTTGCGCGTCGACTTTGAAACTGTGGAGCCGATCAATTCTGGCCGTGCATTGTTTTATACTTTCACGAAATAATGGTTCGGTGCTGACCAGCTAATAGACAAGATAAAGCAAAGACCAACCCACTCCATGCGCCTTATGTTTCAGTTCCGTGACGTGTTGATACTCTTGATCTGATTCACTTTGAGGTGCGTGATAAAGCGCAGACGCATCTGAAGCGTGGGCGGTGTTCTACAGACGTGACTTAAATCCGTATTCACAAACGATGCTTGCTTAATTGAAGCAGGAAATCGAACGCACAGCGTTGAATAAAGCTTTGTGATTGGTTCATGTGCCATCCTGTGCGTCCACGCGCACTGTGAGACCTCATAGTAATGTTTGTGAATACGGGCGTTAGTCTCAATGGATAGTGATGTGTCAGTAAGGGGCAGACTACAGCTGCACAGTCACTCGGAGCTGGAGCTCGAGCTGGACGGCGTGTAGCTGTAGTAGTCGCTGTGCTAGGCCGTGTTGATCTGCTCCACGTTGAGGTGCGTGATGAAGCGCAGACGCATCTGAAGCGCCGGCCGCAGCTTGCGGATCACGCTTTCGACTTCGTTCTTCAGTGTGTCGCCGACGAACATGTATTTTATGTGATAACTGGTTTTTGGTCAGGAAATTACGCGGCTACCGGTACCTAAGTATCAATGAATGTTTACGCGATAAAAGGAAGATTCAATGAAATAGCAATACACAAGCATTGCGAGCTACGTATTTAGTGCAAGACATAAATATGTATTCGTATCTCCATTAACTCGATTCCGCCTGCAATCACCTTCACGTCGTGTTTGTTGACTCAACAAACCTGTCAGACTTTATGAACATGCTTGTGTTGGAGCACTAAAGTAACCTAGTGATCAATTATATCGAGCAACTATTAAAATCAACAGTCTAACAGTAGCACACATAATGCTTACACCGTTTGGCGTCTGTCATTTGTCGATATTAAAAAGGATACAGCAGATCGCATATCGGGTCGATGTACTGCAGATGCGGCTGCGCCTTGTCGATTTGCGCGAGCAGTTCATACAGCGCCACTGTGATGTCCATGACAGCCCGCGACAAGTCCGAGTTGAACCGCTGCAGGAACGGGCCCACCAGGTGGCACAGGAATAATAGCTGCACCTCCGTGCGGATCTCAGGGGATAGCTTCTCTTTCACGAACCTGGAAGACACGGTTGAAACACTTAACTACTATCCCTAGCAGTCCCCTCTCTCTCCAACAACAACGTTATAAGAATTGTTATTTTTCAATTGAAAATAAGAAAGCTAGTTCCTCTGTGGTTGATGACTCTGAGTTAAGCTCACTTCCACTTTCCGTCTGATCATCACTTTCACTCAGCTGAGCAAGGCCAAGAGCTGCTCGGTTATGGTTAAAAAAAAACCTATTAGTTTCATACAAAAATAAGATACTCACTGTGGAACTTGCATGATTTGCCCTGCTCCCGCATGGTACCAAATGGCGTGAGCAAGCGCTAGCGTCAAACTGTATCTGTTCTCTAACATGGCGTCGTTGGTCGTCGTCAGATTGAACAATTGGAACGGCGTGTGGGGGAATGGCCACTCGACCATGTCATTTTGTGTAGTCAACTCGAGTATACGGTCATGCAAGACTGTCCAATACGGGTCTGGAAGGGCGGCCATGATGAGGCCGATTGCGTTGATCCACAGCTGGATTTTTGTGGGAGGAATTACGACGAATCCTTTGGTGATGACGTCTAAGAGGCTGTTTCCCACAAAGTTAGGCGCGAGAGGCAGTGACATGAGCTCCACACACGTCACGTACAGCGCATGCGCCGACGGATTCGGGTACTCGTTAAACCGCCAGTCGGTAGTTGGGAAATGAGAATTGCCTGTCATCGCTGAGTAAACAATCAGGAAATTATTTGTTCTAAAATGTACACTAAAACTTTTAAAAGATAAACTTGTCAAACAAATAATCATTTTAGTCAAAACAATTACCAAGTCAAGTCATAGAAAATCATAAATAGTTCGGATTAAGTAAACAGAGAAAAAACGATGGACCAAAAAAATAATGCAAGTACTTAAAGTTGCCATGTAGCATTTGCTACACGTAGTGTGGCACTTTTAATATACGAACTCTGCATCAAATGAAAACAGTTGATATATCTGTGTAAGACTGTTTTGTTTTAAATAAAGTTAAGATACTATACCAAAAAAGAAACAAACAATGAGCAAGTTTTAAAAAGGATACTGTCCACCATTCGGTTGACCAGACTCAAGTAATAGTTAAGGTCAGGCGCCCAGGCCGTGGCCTCCACGTCAGTCTTGCCCAGGTACGTCTGGAAGGCCTCGGTGGTGGCCCAGCCGGCCGGCCGGACCTCCTTCAAGGAACCCAACACTGCCGTGACTAGCTTCCTCTTTAACATCGGCTTGTCCCGAAGTTTAGTCTCGTAGTAATGCAAGGTGTTGTATAGGAACGTGACTGGTCTGTCTGTAAAATTACAGTCGGTTTTTTTATAACTTAAACCTAAACAGTAACATTTTAGGGTTGCTTTTAGGTTTTGCTAGTCTACTAGTCAAATTCTAACGTCTGATTGGCGAGGATAGAACATGTAGTTTCGGGGATACATCTAATCCAGGAATGTGTTATATTGTATGCTTATTTAAAATATTTTTTTTGTCACTAGGATACAAAATTGTTATTTACGGAACTTAAGATAAAAACGGGATTCTACATTGATTTGCATTAACTTTCAAAATATCTACGAAAGGTGTCTAGGGATTCAAAAAAGCTAATATTATTTTAATGAAATTATAGTTACGCATAAAAATAACTTAGGGGTTTCTTGCACACTGTTATTCTGCGTGTGCGTGAGTAAAATGTTTGTGAATGTATCTAATATTATGTGAAAGAGCGTATTATTTGTCTATTTTTACCTTGCAACTATCCTGTTGTAACGATAAGAAAAAATCTAACTGGCGCAACATTAGTAAATAAATAATCACTCGAAAAAATAAACCCAATCAAAAATACACTTACCATGGAACTTGTATAGATAGCCAAGGTGTTCCAGCAGTTGTTCTAGGTTTTTGCTGACCTGTGGGATTTCCAGGTGTCGGTGCACTACGATATCTAGCACTGGGATAAACCTTAGGCACACATTGCTTAGGTAGACAGGTATGGGTCCACCATATGTGCTGTTTGCTTCCTCTGGTGCAAACTTTTCTGGATACTTTCTATGGAATGCAAGATGTTTGTCGTACCTGCGCATATAAGACGTCATTAGCATAATATGCATTGTCTAATTAACGAACAGCGACAGCACATCTAAAGTCTACAACCAAGGGGCCGTTCAAGTATTACGTAAGCACCAAGGGGGGGTGGGGGGTATCTGTTTTGCTTATTTTGGATGACATGGGGGGTAGGGGGGGTCTAGATGATGATTACGTCATCGTAAATTATTTACGTTTTTTCGGGGATTCCCGCAAATAATACATATGCGTAGGCACTCGCTTTGAGAACTGATTAGGGGAATTACCGCACATTAGGGAAATTACCGTGCGCTATTCACTTGTCTAATAATTAACTCTCGTGCCGACACTGCCCATTGAAGTTTGAGAGTCGTAGTCCGCATATTATTATACGCGAGGCCGGCCTCCCGCGCGCCTGTTTTGTTTGGATACTAAACGTATTGTAAGCATTGAAAGTTATCATTTGTGTTTATGTTGATGCATAATTGATGCAATTATGTTTGTTATGTTCTTTATTTCTGATTATACAGGGTGTTTGGCGCATCGTGTGCCAAAAATATTTGGCGGATAGAATGGGTCATTTCCTATATTTTCAGCCCCCATAACACGTTCCATGCCAGGCGGCTACTTTTATACGAATTTTTTTAGTAATTTCACCAAAATACCTAAATCGCGTCATTTAATTTCGATTTAAAAAAACTACTAGGCGTAGCCTCAAAGTAAATATTTTGTTTTGACGTGCATTGATGTAGGGTTGCATCAAATCTAAATTTACTGGCAAATATCATCTAGTTTTTTTTTAATTCAGCTTTGACTGAACAATTAAGTTTACATGGCTATAATAAAAACATTAAAAGAGATAGCGATCTTCGGATTTTATCAAAACTTCTCTAGTCTATCCCCATTCAAACGGTATACTAATCTTGTTTAAATAATAACAACAACTTCACAAATTCCTTAAATTAGTGCATTGACTCTACTCGGACTGATATTCAAATTTTGAATTTTGAACCTTTTTTTTTACTATACAATAAGTTCAAAGCAGGTAAAAACTTCACAAAATATTTACTTTGAGGTTACGCCTAGTAGTTTTTTTTTAAATTGAAATTAAATGATGCGATTTGGGTATTTTGGTGAAATTACTAAAAATTACTATAAAAGTATCCGCCTGGCATGGAACGTGTTATGGGGGCTGAAAATATAGGAAATGACCCATTCTATCCGCCAAATTATTTTGGCACACGATGCGCCAAACACCCTGTATATTTTTGTCCCTTACTCTATGTGTATCAGTTAAACCTAATATTTTCATGAATTTTCCTATTTTAAAAATGACAATATAAAAAACATTTATAATGTTTACGTAAGCATAGGGGGAGGGGGTAAGTGCTTTGCTTACTTTTGATGACAAGGGGGGCGGGGGGGTAAAAAATGGTAAGAAATCTGCTTACGTAATACTTGAATGGCCCCCAATGTGTGTTACCAGTGATGACTTATGGTTCGGAAACGTGGCCTCTCACTATTATAGGCCTTATACAGAAGCTCAAAGTTGCACAGCGTGCTATGGAGAGGGCTATGCTCGGTGTTTCTTTACGAGATCGAATCAGAAATGAGGATATCTGTAAACGAACTAAACTCGCTGACATAGCCCGACGGATTAGCAAGCTGAAGTGGCAATGGGCAGGGCACATAGTACGCAGAACTGACGGCCGATGGGGCAGCAAGGTTCTGGTGTGGCGCGTACCGGAAAACGCAGAGTGGGACGTCCACCCACAAGGTGAACCGAAGACATCATAAAGGTAGCAGGAAGGCGTTGGAAGCAGGCCGCTACCAATCGAACAACATGGAAATCATTGGGGGAGGCCTATGTTCAGCAGTGGACGACTTATGGCTGAAATGATGATGATGATGACAGCACATCAGACTATACACTTAGTTGCAAAGTCGCTCTTATTACAAACAAAGACAATACGATGTCACAGTGTTTATCTTAACGTGCTGTTGTCTGATCATCGAATTAAAAACAATATCTTTTACTAATGTAATGCGAATAACTGCTACCAAATATTTATTTATTATTATTATTTTTAAAAATATTGTGATAAAAGTATATCATACCAGTTATTCTGCTTCCAGTGTTCAGGTGAGTTTTCTTTGACGAAGTCTTGGGCTCTATTTCTCAGTTCGGATCCTTTGAGCAGCAACAGCTGGATGATATAGAGACACACTTGGCTTTCGTTGCCGTCAGGATTAGGGCGAAGGACCTATAAAAAGCAATATTCAAAAAATTAATCCTTGAGGTGTAATGATGAAATGTTATCCATTATTTATGTATGGTTATCTACACTCGCGAGCAAAACTATGGAATCACTTACATGAAGTTGTTTCCACGCGAACTTGTGTACTAACGAATTTGTTAGGAACAAAAAAAGTGGCACCATTTTAAAGATTAAACTTTTATCTTTAAATTGATACCAAATTCATTTAAATCACACCAGTATTTAAAAAGATATCCCGGCTGATGTGAAGAAGTAACGAAAAAGACATGTATGAACTGTTTGATATGTCGCGAGTTGCGGCCTATTTACCCCCTATAAAAGCACGCGTTTTCGGATTTTTGCTTTCACACGTTGATTCATACACATCTCCGCTTCTTTTGACACTATCTGGGATTCTACACCTTCAGAAGCAGCACAAATCGTTGCACTATTGCAAGTAAGGCTCAGCCAGCGGGCTGTCGCACGTCAGCGCCACATAAGCCAGTCCTGGGTTTGGAAAGTTTCAAGATGCTTTCGGGAGACTAGTGGCTTTATCCCGAGACCAAGTTCTGAACAGCGCCGGTGCACATCGCAGAGGGAAGACCGTTTTTTTATGTCAACCTCTCTATGAAATCGTCATTTGACTGGAATCGATGTCCATCAAGAGCTCAGAAATGTTCGTAAGATAGCTGTTAGCGAGTGGACAGTTCGTCTAAGATATAAGCAATAGAATTTGACTCCAAAAAGGCCTGGCACAGGCTCGACACTGACGGCAGGTCACCGATAAGCACCCTTTCAATTTGCTCATACACATCTCGATGGGAAGGCGAGTAATGGAGGCCAGTTCTGTTCTCCGATGAATGCAAACTGTGTTTGCAGGGCAGCAGTCGAAGAGGTCGGGTTTATAGGCGGCCTGAGGAGCGATTTGTGCAGTGCTGGTTCGCTGAAACAGTGGCTTATGGGGGTGGCTTGCTCGACTTAACATCGAGATGTGTACGAGCAAATTGAAAGCGTGCTTATCGGTGACCTGCCGTCAGTTTCGAGCCTGTGGCAGGCCTTTTTGGAGTTAAATTCTATTGCTTATGTCTTAGACAAACTGTCTACTCGCTAACAGCTATCCTACGAACATTTCTGAGCTCTTACTGGACGTCGATTCCAGTCAAATGACGATTTCATAGAGAGGTTGACATGAAAAAACGGTCTTCCCTCTGCGATGTGCGCCGGCGCTGTTCAGAACTTGGTCTCGGGATAAAGCCACCAGTCTCCCGAAAGCGTCTTAAAAGTTTCGAAACCCAGGACTGGCTTATGTGGCGCTGACGTGCGACAGCCCGCTGGCTGAGCCCTTCTTGCAATAGTGCAACGATTTGTGCTGCTTCTGAAGGTGTAGAATCCCAGATAGTGTCAAAAGAAGCGGAGATGTGTATGAATCAACGTGTGAAAGCAAAAATCCGAAAACGCGTGCTTTTATAGGGGGTAAATAGGCCGCAACTCGCGACATATCAAACAGTTCATACATGTCTTTTTCGTTACTTCTTCACATCAGCCGGGATATCTTTTTAAATACTGGTGTGATTTAAATGAATTTGGTATCAATTTAAAGATAAAAGTTTAATCTTTAAAATGGTGCCACTTTTTTTGTTCCTAACAAATTCGTTAGTACACAAGATCACGTGGAAACAACTTCATGTAAGTGATTCCATACTTTTGCTCGCGAGTGTAGTTATGGTGACAATACATTACTTTTTTTCAATCATCACGATCGGTTATTTTAGAATCAGTGCAGGAGGACGCCCTCTCTTAATTTACCAGAGATGTTGATTACTTGGTCTAACTCCCTACGATAATATTCAGACGGGTTGTGGCACTCTGAAGTTGGCAGAAATTAAACGGCTTTATAATATTAGTAGGACTATGTATATTTTTTGAAAAAGAGGTTGACAATAGTGACAAGTTTTTTGCGCTGCTTCTTCTCAGCTCATTTATTGTCCTGAAGCAGCGGTAGGTTTAATTCTGGGACGTGTAAAAATAATTTTTAAAAGTCTACTTGGATAAATAAGTTTTATGAGTTTTTTTTATGTTGACTCACCAGGCACAGCACCAGCCGGTCGATGGTGACGATGTTGTACTTCCAGATGATGTCGTTGATGGCGTCCACGCACTTGTTGATGTGCGGCCCGCCGGCCGGGTTGGTGACCTCGAACACGAGGTAGTCGCAGAACTTGCGAAGGTGAGCAGAAAGTGCGCGCGCGCCAATACGCTCGAGTATCCTTTGGAAATACGTGACGTTTTAAAAATAATTTGTAAATATTATTCAGGGTGTTGATTTCAATCCTCTTTTGCATGGGGGTTCCTTTTAGAACGTAGGTGCTCACTAAGACGGGATTTTACAAAATTCAACTCCTAAGTCGCGGGGTAATAAAAGTAAGCTAAATATTTTGCTGGGTTAAGAGTGGCTTCCCACAATAAGGTGGATACAGATTGGTTCATATAAATATTTGTATCAGAAAAGTTCAAGGCACATGTATCCGACAACAGTCGTCGATACGAGACGTGTGCAGAGCAGAAGATGTCAATTACTACTATGCCACATTAATTTATGTCAATTTCACCTTTAACGCAACATCAAGCTGATGTAGGTGGACAAAAAAGTATTCGACATTTAGATAGACAAGCTATTGAAACAACTGCCTCACGAGAATCCTAGGATTTCAATCGAAATAAATTACGGGACTATTCCCACCTCCTGGATGGCCAATAAAAACTCGACCAGTGGGAGCCAAGTTTCTCAGGAAAAAAATCATAATCGACTTCGAACTAATATACAGGGTGTCCCGTAATGTAACGTCAAGCCGGAACTGGGTGTTGAGGCAAGTTGTGCTGGTTATCAGAAAAATGTAAAAAAAAATATATGAGGCATATTTTAAAAATAATAGGCATTTAAAAAAAATCAAAAAAATCTACTCCAGGTGACGGTCCTTTTACTCGTGTTGCCACAAATCTTCACTTTTTCCAAATTTTTTTTTTGTTATGTAACCCTGAATAATGCTTCTCTAAATTGTTATCAAAATTACAAAACCAGCTGCTAAAACTTGGATGAAAAAAATACATTATTCCCAAAAAAAATATCAAAATAAAAATTTTGCCTAGTTTAAACTGACTGTACTGAAAAAAAATTGTACTACGCGAGTGTGGCAAGTGACGTCATAATTTGGCGCATTTAGTAAGGATTCCAAAATGGTACAACACTTGGTAAATTTTTGCTGTAATTGTCGACAATTTTTATTTTTTTTGGAAATAGTCCCGTTTTTAACTTTATCTACCTTGGTTAAAAATATTATTCTAATGTGCCCAAAATTCAAGTTTCTGGCTTAAGTGAGGTGGAGAAGCCATTTTAAAAGGTATGAGCGGGACGGAGAGGGCCATCTTACCAAGCAGGGATGTTATGGATATCCGTAACCGTAACCGAAACTATCGGATATCCGAAATAAAAAAATGTCCATAACCGTAACCGAAACTGATTCAAAAGTTACGGATAGTTTCGGATAAAGGCCAAACTGCAAAACTCTATGAAATCTGCAGTATACACGCCGCAGCTGCAATGCCGCGCTGCCGATTTCATAGTTTTGCAGTTTGCGGTTGCAGTTTGCGGTCTGCGGCCCGTCTTGGAATTGTACCTTAAATCTTAATATTTGTTACCAACTTGTCTGGCATTCGCTGGCACCATCTAATATGCCAGCCTGTTTTACCTTTATCATACATAGGTGTCGTCTTAGTTGGTACATAAAGTAGCTATGTGGGTCACGCTCACGCAGCATCTTGCTATTTGTATTATACCTACATTTTTGAAATTCTAATAATTCCGTAACCGAAATTATCCGAGACTTTCGGATAATCTGAAATGATTTCATATCCGTGACCGTAACCGAAACCGGTATAATATTATTCTAATATCCGTAACCGTATCCATAACCAAAACTTCATATCCTTATTATCCCTGTTACCAAGTACAAGTGCAGGCAGAGCAGTAAAGGCGCGCGCGCACGGGTGACTTTTGTCACAGTATGTCAACTACTAATTACTGTCATGGTGACAAAAGTTTCTGTAACTGACTGTACGGTAGTCAGTCACAGAAACTTGAATTTTGGGCACATTAGAATAATATTTTTTAACCAAGGTAGATAAAGTTAAAAACGGGACTATTTCCAAAAAAAACAAAAATTGTCGACAATTACAGCAAAAATTTACCAAGTGTTGTACCATTTTGGAATCCTTACTAAATGCGCCAAATTATGACGTCACTTGCCACACTCGCGTAGTACAATTTTTTTTCAGTACAGTCAGTTCAAACTAGGCAAAATTTTTATTTTGAAATTTTTTTTGGGAATAATGTATTTTTTTCATCCAAGCTGGAGCAGCTGGTTTTGTAATTTTGATAACAATTTAGAGAAGCATTATTCAGGGTTACATAACAAAAAAAAATTGGAAAAAGTGAAGATTTGTGGCAACAAGAGCAAAAGGACCGTCATCTGGAGTAGAATTTCTAATTTTTTTTTAAATGCCTATTATTTTTAAAATATGCCACATAGATTTTTTTTATATTTTTCTGATAACCAGCACAACTTGCCTCAACACCCAGTTCCGGCTTGACGTTACATTACGGGACACCCTGTATAACTAACTCGGCATCGGTAAATAAGTTATTAGACTGAGGACTTACTTGAAGGCGATAGGGTTGATTCTGTTGGTCTCGAAGATCATCTTCCAGAGCAGACAGAGGAAGAGCGGCGTGCCCGGCACCGAGAAGTGCGAGATGATGTCGTTGTCGTTGGCCATCGACGTCCACTTGCGGTACTCCTCGTCCACTGACTTCTTGAGCACTTGCTTGTTCTCTTTGGGAGCTGGGTTCTGGAATTAGAATAATAATCATCACCTAGGTTCAAAAAGTAATGAGAATGGGATATTTCTAAGGTCTAAGGTAGGTAGCTTAATTCTTCATTAGAAACTGGTAAAAAAACATTTAAGTTCACAATTGCGTTTAAGAAATACATTCGCCTGAACACGACCAGTCGGAAAGTCCTTGTCCTTTCTGTGGTCAACGCACCCGTACACAACCCTGAAGTTAAGGGGGCAGCCAAAAAAATTGCTTTTTAAAATGCTCAAAAACCCATCATATTCTCTAGACCTGACTCTAAGATACGTTTTAAGCTCTATTTCAGATTTAAAAAGTAGTTCAAGGACCTGATATTTGTCGAGGCAGTGTCCTTTTTTAACCTTTTTGGAGAGTCAAGAAAATCAACCGACTGGTCGTGTTCAGGTAAGGCCGCGTATCGAGCGACACAATACGGCTCGGCTCACAACGACGAATTCGCCTCAGGACGCGGCGTGCCGCAGATTGACGCAACGTCCCCACTTGCCCTGCCTCGAGACAAGCTACCTCTAGTGGATACGCGACCTAACATTCATCGTAAACGGGAAAATATCTGGACAAAACGGAGTACGATAGTGTTTACTGTCTACTAAGAAAAAGTTTTCCAAAAGTTTTGGTGGAGAGAAAAACAATTATGTTACGTATACGATGCGCAAGCTGTGATCAGTCAACAATGCTATAGTATACAAGGTGGAAACGATAAGTGATCTCACTCGATTATTTCTAAACTATACAAGATATCTAAAAACTGATTGCTGATCCTGAAAGTGCTTCACACGCTCTTTCAAACGGTACCAATAATAGGTTACAGAATAAACTGGAACTATTCGAAAATTCAATGTTTCTAGCTTCCATACTAAATGTATGCTAGCCACACAATAATAGAAGTGTAATTTATTTTTTGTTTAATAATAAACTTAAAAAGTCGGTTAAATAAACTCGTAACTTGCATCTTATTTAAAATTATTTGTTGAAAACATTAGTATTAGGCTTTACTTGCTATAATATTATCAAGAGATGAGTGCCATGACTGTGATAGTACTAAATGTATGGAAGATGGAAACATTGAATTTTTGGATAGATCCAATTTATTCTGTAAGCTATTGTTGATACCGTTGGATAGAGCTCGTGAAGCACTTTTAGGATTAGTAACTAGTTTTGCGATATCTTGCGTAGTTTTTAATATTATGTAACTTTACTAAATGTATGGAAGCTGGAAAGATTGAATTTTCGGATAGTTCCAGTTTATTCTGTAACATATTATTGGTACCGTTTGAAAGAGCTCGTGAAGCACTTTTAGGATCAGCAACTAGTTTTTCGATATCTTGTATAGTTTAGAAATAATCGAGTGAGATCACTTATCGTTTCCACCCTGTAGATAATAATTAATAAAATAACAATAATAGAACAGAGGAGCGAGAATGGGAATTCGTACGAAGTTTGCCAGAAACTCGGTGGAAGCACATGTTACAATTTCCTCTCACGATGGAAAGTTGGCATATAAAATGAGTACTTCTTACCTGTGAAAAGAACTCAACAAGCACGGCCGGGAAGCACTGCAGCGTGTGCTGCGACCACATGTGCGGCGTGTTCGTCATTATGGTGGTCAGCAGCTCCTTCACGGCCGCCCCGTCGCTGCCTGCATCAAACGGGCAAATAATACTTGACATAATGCCGACGCCACAAGTTCAAGGCTCCAAGTTATAGTATTGGATCTAATCATAGAGATCTAGAGATGCCAACTAATGATCACATAAAAATGTATCTTTCTTTCTCTTTATTCACTGCGGTATCAGTACTCAACGTTCGAATAATCTTTAGTACTATGCAAGCACGCCGCGGAGGCGCCGCTATGGAGGCCGCGTACCGGAAAACGCAGCGTGGGACGTCCACCTACAAGGTGGACCGACGACATCGTAAAGGTAGCAGGGAAGCGCTGGACGCAGGCCGCTACCAATCGATCAACATGGAAAGCATTGGGGGAGGCCTATGTTCAGCAGTGGACGTCCTATGGCTGAAATGATGATGATGATGACTATTATGCAAGCATGCTGTCATCATAGCTGGCGCGTTCTGCTTTTGAGCATATTGCTGCTACACTGGCCCCGCCTCCTTTTCACATATTATTATCCCTTTAGTGTTTGTATCTGTGGATCCAATACATCCAAAAAATACAATTCATTTGGTTTCTGGATGTAAACGTAAGACCAAGATAAATTTACACATTGGTGTATTGGATCCAATATTACCATTGTGTGGCGCCGTCATAAAACTTTGTACTCGGTAGTAGAGGAAACTTGCGGCAACTAGTTGAAAATACTATTACTGCGAGTAAATGACAAGAAAATCAACACACAAAAATTATAGCACTAATAAATGTAAAATATCACAAAATCGATTACCCGCTCCAGTCATGTAAATTCCACGTGCCAGTGTTAGGACTAACACTCGATTCAGCTCTTCGCTCTCAGACGATACTAGAGACTTGGGTTCAGAAACCACCCGGGACATTTGCAGTTGCACCCCCGAGCTACCCAGGCTAGTTATCAGACGAAGTGCTGTGCTTTCAAAGCTGAAAAAACACATAATGCTGGAAATTATGCGATTGGTATGATGGTTAGCGTCAGATTCCTACTTCTACCAGAAAATCAAATGACTCCTCATTTGATTTTCCGGTTTTTGGACACATCTCCATGTTTGTTTGTTGATCTCCATGTGTCTTGAAATAATTTTGGATCTGGGCAATTTTCTTATCAGAACTTACCATAATTGCAGTTGTGTCTGATTTGCTTGCGGGTAAGCAGCCAAAGAATGTATGTTGGAGAGTAAAGTCACACGGTAGTGCGGCTGGATATGATGAATTCGATATGAAAACATGTCAAGTAGGTTGTGCAATATACCCCACGCGTGGGACTTAAATACATTAGGCAACAGCTGATCTGGAAATAGAAGTAACCCTATGAGATAACAGTTAAATAAAAAAAACATATAATATAATAGTTTCTTAACTCAGCATCAAACTCCCAGATTGACAACTATTATTGGGGTGGATGCCTCTACAGCTAGTAATTAATGTAAACTGATTGCAATTCAAATTAATAATTTTTAGGTGTTTAATAAATAAATTATATTTTAAATGGCTTTGTATAAACAGTAGCCAATAAAAATTATACTTACTTATAAACCCTTTTATGCCTAAAGATTCAATTTCAGTATACACAAGTAATCGGCTGTAGGTTTCCACTAAAGCTGGAGCCATCATACTGCTCCCTGGCATATTTGTCTTATTTTGGGCCAGTTTCGCGACATGCGTTACAATTGAATGAATCAATGACATTTTGCAATGCAATGTTAAACTGTCCAGAATACACATTGATAAAGGCATTGTTGGCAATGGAGTGGCAGGATTGCCATTTGACAATGCTTTCTGGCTGCCAAAAAGAGTCTCAATAATAATACCCATTGGTCTAGTATAATACTCCTGGTTTGTAGAATAAGCATTGCACAATAACGCAATGCGGTAGTCAGATCCAGTTAGTGTTGGTGTATTGTTTGAAGTCATAAGATGTTGCAGGTATCTAAAACATGAAAACCATCTCAGGATTTGTATACTATATTTAAATAAAAAGCTGAACAAATTATTAACATTCATACTCACTCATACTGCACTTTTAAATTCTGTGGCATTGTCATGGTTTTATGTTCAGTTTCTGCCTTTTTCAATAAATGCATCCAAATGCAGACAACAGCCATTTGATGTGTACAATGTGCCTTAGTGCAATCTGGTACTGGCAAAGGATCTTTTTCAGGATATAAGAGCTCATATAATTTTATGATTGGCAAAAAATTGGATAAAGGATTACGTTGAATACTTCCTGATATGAACTGCAGCAAAACCCACATAAGGTGATCACGCCCTTTCTTCATGTCGTGACCAATCAGCTTATTATGCAAGCCCATGACAATATTTGGGAATGATGCAAATCCTATCAGGATCAAATAAATCACTTGAGAAGACAAATGCAACCAGCACCAGTGGGTAGATGACATTTCATCATCTTCATTTTCTTGCTCACTCTTCTCCATTGGTAATATCATCAGTTCTACTAACTGATCTTCTAGGGCTATACAACGTTGCTTGTGCTGCTTTTGGAGCCCTAACATTGAACACATCATATCCCTCGAATATGGTTGCTGTAACACATGTCTTAGCAGTGCTATTTGTGGTTTCAACAGCTCATCATCATAAGGCAAGTTTCCTTTTAGTGAGAATTTTAAGGTGGTAGGATCTAACCTCCAAGGGTTTACAAGATGATCAGCATAGCCAGAGAATTCAACAACAGGCAGCATGTGAGAATGACCTATAATGGACACCATTTGAGCACATGGTTTAAAGCTTTCAACAAAGCTAGTCAACAGTTTGGCCAATTGCCAATGCGGCCAATGATTATTATCAGGGTAATCTTTTTGAATCTCTGTGACAATAAAATATGCAGGCAGCAGAGATGCATTCCTATCAAATATATATTCAATAACATTATACAAAGCTTTAAGTTGAGGCATAGTGCTAGAATTAAGTCTTACAGGGAGAGTATGTGCTTTCTCTCTACAACCCTAAAAGAAAAAATTAATATGTTTATTAATGTAAAATAAAAAAAGCATAAGTGTTTAACAATGTGTGTGTGAAGAAATATATACCTTCATAATTTCTCTCACACCTTTGTAGTCAACCCCGCCAATAATTCTTCTAACCAAATTGAAACATTCAATCCAGTAATCAGCATTTTGATAAACAAGTTTGTCACTTGTTAAAATGCAGTCGCAAAGCATACTGAAAATTACAATTGCAGACACATTTTTATTTGTAAATTATAGCGAGAATAAAAAAGTTATACAACAAAGGTACAAACCGAGCTTGAAGTATGTTCATGTTAACCAAATTCTCTAGAAGGTTTAGCAGTTGTTTCATTTTGTATCTGTTAGTTAAAACCGCTGTAAGTACGAGGTACTGACGAATAGCAGACTCCTGCAAGTCAGCACTCAATGTAGTCATGATGGCACAGAGCTTTTTCTGATATACTGATAAACGTTCATTTTCTTGTTCTGGTTTATTAACCAAAAAACAGCTGAACGCCTCTTCAACTGCCTCCACTCTCTAAGAAATGATAATAGCATTTAATTCTCTTAAAACTACATTATTCAATTAAAATTAAAGTTTTGTTACATACCAATATTTCATTCACCATATTCGCAACTTGTGATTCAGCCATCTTCAGACTTTTTCGAAGATTTTGTTTGATAAATTATAACAGTATGGTAAAACACTTTACATTATTATCACAGATTCCTGTATTACTGTGTAAGTTTGTACAAACACTTGCAAAAAATTAACCTACTATAAGTATGTGGTAACATTTAAAAATTAAAAAACATTACGGAATGAAAACTACATATAATATTTATCATAGAAGCTTGAACTAGAAAGGCCACCAGTTTAATTTTAAACGCAAAGAAGAAAATGTGATGTGATGCTTTCTTTTCTTTTCACTGCACCCAGCATAGAGAAAAGTAATACACAGTGTTGCCAACGAAGTATCAAGCTCCCCACCAGAATTGACCTCTAAAACCACCAGAAATCCACTAAAAAAAATCGCACCATCGTAAAAATCGCTAAATTTTCCACTATTTTTTTGTCTGGCAGATTTGTGGTCATTTTGAAAGAAAACAGTATTTTTATTGAAATGAATTTTAATTAATTAAAACGGTTTGTGCTGTGAAAGGGTGTCTAAAATACATCAGAAAAACGAAAGAAAGTGACCAGTGTTACATTTCATAAGTAAGTAGGTACTACAATCCGACGCGTATTTTGCTTGAATTTGGCTTTCAAAAATTAAATACGGGAATGATACCAGTAACAAGAAAATTTATTTCCCAATTGTTCGCCGTACAAATACACTTCCTTTTTTTATGAAATCGAGACTTTTAAGTCGATTTATCTTATTGTTATTAGGTAGGTACTTTGAATTAAATAAGTAAGTACATGATGTCTTAAATGTGTATTGCTGTTGGTGTACCTTTATCAATAAATAAATAAATAAATGATGCGTTTTGTTTTTGTTAATTATAAAATAATTAAAAACGTATTAAAAATTTCCCTACTTTCGGGAAAATCGCCTTCACTGTCTACACTCCCCAACAAAATTGACACTAATGACATAAGATTTTTGCCTCACTCTTGACGAAGCGTTTGTATGAAGACTATCCATCTAGGTTTTATTAATCTAAGNGCGTTTTAGGGTAGTTAAAAAGTATTTGAATTTATTCACCGATGTCGCTGTTTGGAAGCAAGTTTCACTTCGATGACCATTGTATGGAAGTTTCTTCACCCTGGCACCCAGCTACTTTTTTTTCTTTTTTTTTTTTAAATTCTTATGTCAAACTTTAAGCTGCGTTTCCACCGATAAAAAGAGTGAGCTCACTATTTGGGCTAGGGAAGGGAAACAAACTCTAATGAACACTTGAGTTTTAAAAAACCATAGAGGAATTAACGAAAAAAACTTACAAGATTTTTTAGAAATAAGGCTTTGAAGAATATTCATGAATTAATTAATAAGTGTATTTATTTTAAACCATAATAGATATTCCCATTATTTTCTTTCCAAAATAAATAAACATTCAAAAATGTGTAATGAATCAGTCATCTCAGACTTTGTTATCATATCTTTGACAACCAACTTAGAACTCCTTGCATGATGAGCTCACCAGCTGGGACCTGGGACCAATAAAATCGATTAATATTGTGGTTCCGCTTTTTTGACATTTACCTAACCAATCAGATTCAAAATGTTTATAAATAATGTCTCATGATTGGTGGCATTTACGTAAAAGCTTGACTTACCATCTGGTGGGGTTAGGTTAGATTCGATTTATTAATTTTTGTAGTAATCAGTCGCTGCATGTTGTTTTCGTCATTTCTTTTTTAGATATTTAAGATATCCACGTCCATTTTATGTTTTTTCATTACATTATTTGGTATCGTATCCATTTCAAAGGTGATGGAGTCACCGCCTTCTTTCTCAACACAATCTGAGGCGCCTCCGTTAAGTGAAGATAGTGGCTTGCTGATTACAAGTGGTTCATTTTCAAGTGATTCCGCTAGTGGATGGCATCACGTTGCATCCGAGGTAAGCAGACTCTAATTTCTCGTTAATCCATGTATGTAAATCTTCAAGAATTATAGGTAAATAACATGTTATGACATTATCGATGACTCGTTATGACTGACCTTTATGTACTCTAGTAGCTACTAATTTGCCTACACATTTTCCTATTGCATAGAAATTAAGTAGATAGCTTGCTTTAACCATTTATTATTTCGATAATATTTGATTCAGAGAACCCCTAAAACTGAAATCCTCAGTGTCATGTTTAAACAATCCAATTTTCTTTCTTGTTGTTTATTATTTATTGTTTTAGAAAGAAAATGATATAATTATCTTACATCCCTGCATCATAATGTACTAATAATTGAAATATTGGGTTTTCCTGATAAACCCAAATATTTCCAAAAAATAGTCAAAATTATTCTTATTAACTTATAACAACTGGACACTCAATAATAACATGTTATTTTACACATAAAACATCATTTTTCCTTATTGTAATAAATCTATCCACTTACTTACCTATTATATTTTACTTTTTTAGGTATGGTCAAGGCTTACAATTAGAAGTTAAAGATCCTTGATCAAGATGAAATCCAAGCTAAATTTAAAGTTTTAGGTCTGTTAATTCATACTGTTTTGCCATGTTGTGTTGCTAATGTAATCTAACTAATATGGAAGTATGTTTGTTGTTTGTGATCATCACTGCTTCCTGGCAATTCCACTGCTTTAAATTTGAAAATATTAACAAAAAAAACTCATCTTTTCATCTGTTTAATTTACACATTTCACAAAATTTTCGTTAGAGACACAAGCTAGCAAATATATGATTGTTGAGTAATCCTTTTTTTTAATATTCAAATCTAAGATAATGTTTAAAAACATGTATCAATTTATTTACACACTACTAATCCTAATTGAATTGTGATTGTGTGTATATTACTATGATAATTTATGTAAACATAATTTCAGGGCTTATCCTAAAAGATGCATGCATGGCGTTTCATTTTGTTTGAGCTATTTATTTTAGCTCTACCAGAAGCTTGGCAGAGTTGCAAGCAATGACTGATCATAGGTAAACTATGCAAATGCATGGATCATGTTTGTTGTCTAAGATATCTATATGTGTGTTGTGACGCTAGTGTCCAAATAACAGTATTCTAGGATCATTTAGTTTCCAAATATTCAAGTAAATGAACATTCAAAATTTTGTTCACACAAATAGCAGCGGAATTAGGAAGTATAGCTAGCGATTATAGAAAACCCTAATGGAAAGGGATGAATTTATGTTAAATCAGGGTTAACTTAATTTTTTAAATTTATTTACACATTTTGTTGATGTTGTGTGCATGGCTTGTATATTTGAGAAATCTGCAGTGTTAAAACTTAGTGTTTTTTTAATTTTATGTGCTTTATTTTTATGTTACTTTGATACTTCATATGTTTACTGTAAGGTTGCTCTCAAAATAGAACATTGGAGTCAGACTGCAGTAGAATCTGTAGGAGGACTACCAAAATAAAATAAACACATGTTTTTTATACAAAATGTAAGCACCAAATTCCTGATTACAACTAATTTGATAGCATCCTTACCTATATCAAAATGTACCTATTTTAATATTCTTCTCTGATGTCTTATTATATTTTTATTTTGTTTCTGTGTATATAAATGGTCATAAAGAAAATTGACATTATTTGTACATATTAAATGACATCAGGCAGTTCGATTTTTTCAAGTTATTTATAATTCTCATATTAAATCAGAATCCATGTAGCTGCTTATGCGTGACCAAAACACAATAATAGTAATATGTTAAGTTCCCTTTACTTTTTAATTGCGAGTTTCATTCTAATTAATAAAAAAAATAGTATCCATTATTTATGCAATGCGAAATTCTGTAAGCAATTCTTGTTTGATATTTTAATTGTTTGAGTGCATTGTTTTATGATTTTGCTTGTGTTATTGCACAGTATTCATTATGTTTTGTTGAAATGGCGAATTTTATAATTTTTAATCACATAAACTAATCTGTGTTGTGATAAAGTACTATAGTACATATAATCTCATTTTGTGGCACCTGCACTTAAAGATGTAATTCATGCTTTAATAATCAAAACTTGTTTTAATGCAAAGCACTAAACATTGTCTATTAACTGTGTCTGAATATAAAAATATTATGTACTATCAGATTTTAATCCAAAGTGTTTTGTAGTTGCAGGAAAGTGACTTTGATGAGAGGTCACTGTCACTTTGTGAGTCTACAGATGCCTCTGAGCGCATGTGTGGTGATTTTTTTAATACGGTGAAAAAAGGCCCAGCCAAAGTAATACTTACTACAATCGAGCCCCCGCCAGAATTCCAGGTAAGTTTTCTTTTATGACTCTAAAAGATGCTTTGAAATAATAAAATAATGTAAATCTAGTTATCTTATTCATTATATTAACAAGCAATTAATTTTAAACATTAATAAATTAGCTAAATAAATCATGTTCAAAATATTACTGAATTACTATAAATTGTTTGAGATGAATAAAAAATACTAAACATGATTTGTAACTAATATGGAATGTTGCATGTGGCCGTAAACCACTAATGAATTAATCTTTATTGCAACCTTACCACTTCGCAATACACAGGATATAATCTATTGGTTTTTGTTGCATCAATACCTAAATAAGGCTAAATTAAAATACAGTGCATATTTTGTTTCAGGACAATCCTGTTCGAATCAATGAAGACACGTCATGTACAGCTGTCTTTGTACCTCCAACTGTTTTGTGTACCCATGAATCCACAAACAAGCCTAATTTCTCCAGTCTAGATATACCGATGACTACAAGACATGTTTCACCATTGTATCCCAGGAAATTAAAACCAGAAACATTATATGAACGACGGCAGTGTTTAAATCACCGATTTGCAAGCCCAAGACTTCTGCATCTCAGCCCATGTCGCGCGAACAGGCCCTCTTCCCGCAACTCCTTGTCTTCTCGCCTCTCTAGCAGTCACAACTCACTTGTTACTCAGTTTCAAGCAGACGACTCGAGTTTCATAACACAAGCTATTTCACATGACACGTTATCTGCAAAAACGTCAGATATTACGGATATGTACAATGTCCCATTCGACAGCGACATTTATGCAGTACCCATTGATATGGTCCGACCTAATCATAACAATAATATGAGAAATAAGGGAAAGCGACCCCCAAGAAATAACAAGAAACGTGGAAAGAGCACACCTCTCGGTGTAGGTTTAAGCAATTATCCGCCAGAGAGAAATCACAAATCAAAAGACACGACGAGACATAAAGACGTAAAAAGTAAACGACACAGTTTACCTAGTTCTTCTGTTAAGAAAAATGCGACTGATTCAGACACAGATTCTTTACATTTGACTCTTCGCGAAATGAGAAAGTATCTGCACACGCTTTATTCTAGTTCCAGTGACTCGGAATGCAGGAACACCATCAACAAAAAGAGTAATGCGATCATAACAAACGTCGCTATACACACGAGGCACGCAAAAGATGCTAACGCGACAGTGCTGCTGAAAGAGAGCAATGAGATAACGAAGTCGATGGAGACGAACAATAATCACAAAAAGTCGAGCAAGAATTCGTTTGGTATGAATGCGAAGAATAAGAAGCATAAAGAGAATATACCGAAGGATTTGATAGAGGTAGATAAGAGTGAGAAGGGATCGAAGAAGTCGTGTCAGAGTCAGAAGACGAAGATGTCTCCGGTGCGGATTTTGTCGTTGAATTTGAAGCAGAGTTTTTGTAATTTGTTCCGCTGGCGGAGGCAGCCGGCATCGGAGGGGCCGGAGGGGTCGGATGTGGAGCGGGTGGAGGGCGCCGCGTCGCCGCCGCCCGCCGTGCGCCGGGCGCTGCCCCCGCTGCCCCCCGCGCCGCAAACCTCGCGCCGCCGCGCCAGCGAAGAGGATACAGTCATGGACTTTGCTACCTCTTTACAGAAAGTCAAAGACGTGAGTTCAAATTTTTTACATCACTTCATCAATACCTATAAGTAAAACAGCACCACCGCGTTCACGATCTCGAATTACGTATCACGCACGACCTCTACGATATTCTCAAATGCTATAGATTTCTTTAGGTTTTCTTCAAATTAAGCTAATTTTGTAAATTCTTAGTGAGAATTTGAAAACAATACTATGTGTTGCAGGTCTTGTGACATTTGTATTAGGCCACAGATAGGCCCTGGCATGCAACTAAAAACGTGAAAATACTTTTCTAATCCCTCTATACTGCTTTGCTGCACCCAAACTCTGTTAAAAAAAAACACTAATATTTAAAAACTAACACTTCTCTGTGTATGCTCACGATGACCTCGACTTAGTCCTTGTAGAACTCCGTTTATAAATAAAACATTACTCGTTCGTCGCAAGTGAGCCTTCCTAATTTAATTCAGCTTGTTGATTCCAATTTGTTCAATTTACACAATTTTATCTATGATGCCAAGAAAGCGAAAAACATTTCGTGTTTTCATAAAAGGTATTTTAAGTATTTCAGGAAAAAGTTGTTTATCACACATACACAATTTTTTTATTGCAAATATGGAAAGTTACAAAAATGCAAAATGTTAATACCTGCCTTTGATAAAGTTTCCTCATGTCTACAAGTTTTTCTACCGTCTCCACTGATGTTTTATTTATTTGTTAACAGTATGGTTGGTACTGGGGTCCGATATCAGTGGAAGCTGCCGAAAAAATTCTGTCCAATGAGCCGGATGGTTCTTTCATTGTGAGAGATAGTAGTGACGACCATTATATATTCACTTTAACGTTTAAGTTAAATGGACTTAGACATGTAAGGATTGAACATGATCAGGGTAAGCACCATTTTTTATTAATTTACTTTATACAAAAGCTATGCATATAGTTTTTGAAACGTCATCTGTATAAAGTATCCCTGCCTGCGGTCATAGTAAAGCGAGTTACTGCTATTGGTTATTCTCGAACATCTCTCATTCACTCCAATAGAGTCTCCTATGATGGCCAAAGTGAACATATTGAAAGGTTTTGTGAAATAGCTATGCTTACGTCATAGATAAAAATTTGAAATGAACACATATTCTGCTGGCGGCAAATAAAGGATTAGATACCAAACTCCTAATTGGCTTGCGATTTTTGTGTTGTCTTAACTAATTTCAAAATTTGCAACTCGCGCGACATCCTGAATGCGCGTAAAATGCGACATAATTCAATTGAACGACAAAGGCGGCGCTCAACAAAACGAGAGCCAGCCGAATATAAGACTTGACCCGTTGACCGCCAATAAAAACCCAACCCGTGAAGGTCAAGTTTGTCTCGAATGTAAGACAGTTGTATGTTCTTTCCGCAGGTAACTTTTGCTTTGGTGGCTGCACGATGTTCAAAGCGCAGACGATCGTGGAGTTCATCGAGAATGCGGTGGAGACGTCACGCAGCGGGCGCTACTTGTTCTTTCTGAACCTGCGGCCGGTGTTGGGACCTGTGCGCGTCCAGCTGCTGTATCCTGTCTCCAGGTTCAAGCGTGTGCAGAGCTTGCAGCACATGTGCAGGTGATAAGACGCCCTTTTTTCCAGTTGATGGATTATCGATGATTTTAGACGACAAATGTATGGGCTTATCGCACACAATCGATATAATGCAACGATAAAATTTTATCGTGACAAGCATTATAGGGCGTGGCCTAGGCTCTTTAGTATCGTATTAGTTAATACCCCTTTTTACCTCGTTTCCAGCGGGCCAATTATGCAAATGTTACAAACATGAGATGACACTCAATAATGTTACGCGAAGTAGTAATACCTCACACGAAAAGTAAAATGTGAAAGCATGAGTGACAGTGTTAGAAAGAACCAAAACTACGTAAATATAGGGATGGATGACTGAAGGAGGAGTTGAGTGTTTGATTGCTATTCCATTAATAGCGCCATCTATTAGTGGATGCTCTTCAGTTTCTGTCATCGAGCTTAAGAATTTACTATCTTTTGAGGCATTTTGTGTCTCTCTTTTTTAACAGGTCTAGCCTATTATTACATGGTGATGATTTTCGTATTTTTTTCCAGATTTGTGATATTAAAGTATGTACGACGAGACCTCATAAGTAGCCTGCCACTGCCGCGGCGGTTGGTGGACTATCTGAGCGCGACGCACTACTACTCAGAGCTCCTCGCAGACATCTGAACACACCAAACGTGATAGGATAAGCTAGCATTACTATAACTATAGTTATAATCCCTAACACCAACTTTTATACATTGACCTTCACATTAATATTTATAATAATCAATTTATTTTAATTACAGTAGGTACATTACAATGAAATCTTTTTAATATATTTGTATAAATTATTATGTCACATGAAATAGATATTATTTTATTATTATATGATTTGGTAGACTTTTATATCTGGTAATAAATTATAAATTAGATAAGTGCATAGATAGATACCGGTCTTCGTGCCTCATTCACTTTATATTTAGATAAACTGAGCTTTGAAGTTATAACCGTAGCATCACGTCAGTTTATACTTTATATAAAATACACCCAAACGCTGCTACAAACATAATCGTGCATATAGTATTTTGTATCGCTATACATATTCATATACTACATATTTAGATTGGCTAAGTGCAACCTAAGCAATCCTAGCAAGTACAACATTATTTATTACAGAATAAATAGAGTAAATTTGTTATAGATAAGCATATGGATTATTTCATACATTTTGGCCTATTATTTATTTAAATGTAAATTATGTGTATGTATATTCTTAAATATGCGTTACTTTTATTTATTTTGTGGTTGTGTGGTAGAAGCACTTAGTAATAGTATAAATGTTTCAGATTTTATATTTTAACATGTATATTTATGGAGATGAATTTGTAATTTTGTACATATAAGTAATATTATTTAAGATTTAATTAATTTTTAATGTAATATAATTTTTATGTTGAGTCTGACAAAAAACAAGTGGTACCGTTTAGCAAGAGGAAAGTAATAACGTATTAAAGATCTTGTTTTGAGTCTCATTTGGTCTCAGGATGTATAATTATCGAAAAACAGACCGATTAGGATTTTCGGCATTTTTTTGTCTGTATATTTAAATAATTTTAGAGTATTTAGTTTAAAATACCACTTTTTACAAGTGAGTACCACTTAATTAACGTAAATAATAGGCACGTTCAGTTCCATGTTATTTTCTAAAATAGGGGAAATTGCACACGGTGTCGGTTTTTGTCAGGCTTTACGTATTTTTACATGTTCGTGGACACTTAACATGACAGTTGTAATTTGCTATACAAAATTAATGCGCGGTCCGTTTGTCAAGAAAATGTTTTGGTATGAAATAGGTACTAATGTTGAGAAAACCTCAACTCTAGCGCAAATGAAAATAACTATTGGTATACTATGGCTGAGTTGCATCACCTTAACTATAACTTTAACTGTTGTTTTTGTATGGAGTTTGACAGTCTTTTGACTATTGTTATAGTTAAAGTAAGATGGTGTGGCCCAGAGTAATTTACTCTCTAACAAACCATCCATGGCAAACAAAAAATTTGACTTGAGCATTTTGATTAAATGTTCATGTACAACTATTTTCAATACTCTAAGAGTCATTCTCAGCAGTCACGAGCTCTTAATGAATTATGTAAGTCTTTTGGTCTACAAAACCTACAGAGACCCATTTGGAAGTATTCATTGGTTTTCTCTCAGTCTATCGAAGCTATGGTCGCGTGACGAGAGTTGAGGCCACAGATCACAGAAACTAAAGAGAGATGAGAAAAGGGGGCGGGGCCAGTGTCGCGACAATATTTCCAAAAACAGAACACATTGCTCGCGACAGCAATGATGACAGCAGCGACGTTATTTATGTGTAAACAGTTTATATTGATTGCGTAGTACTAAAGATTATTCGAACGTTGAGTACTGATACCGCAGTAGATAATGAGAACATTCAAACTAACAGATTACATTCGATCGTACGTCACTGCGGACTGCGTATGTATTGGTACATTACTTGCAATGTGTGCATGACACACTCTTCGCGAAGTATTGTTTTTATTTTGATTACTTTGTGTGTGTGAATTTCTAATGCGACACTGCGTTCCGAACTCGGCGCATTAGTTGGCATCTCTCTAGATCTCTATGGTTGAGGTCATCTAACTAGTAGCACAGAATAGTAATAGTTTATTGTCTTTACAATGCAAATGGGTGAGGAGAGAGAGACGGAGGTGAAGTCGCGCGTGTTTTGTTTTCGATGCAAACTCGCGGAGATGAACAGGCCTGCTAGTAGCAAATGATTTGTATATGCGTTTCGCGCTGGACGTCTTGCATAATGCCGACTGATTTGTTCTGTATTCTAATATTACATCAGTGTATGTGTTCACCTCAACTTTTATTTCGCGACCAATACTTGTTTGTTATTTTGATTTAAGCTGGAAATGGGGTTATTTTCTACGAAACAATCGCAAATTTTGATTTATATATATTATTACAAAGTTCTGTTGCAAAGTAATGTCCACGAACGTTTTAACGTTTTCAAAATTTTAATTATTTAATAAACTGTTGACATCTTGCAGGCATTATTTTAAGTCCAACTACATTACTTCACTCTATATATTTTTAATGAAATTAAATGATATTCACTTTTTTTAATCATATACAAATGCCCAGTGCTTGATTAAGTATTTGGATAGTTTTACTTTTGTCACTATTGGCCCGCTATACGTTTTTCCGCGTAATGGATTGCACGTCATAATAAAAATAAAATAAATAAATATCCTTGGACATTTTACACTGCGCTTCTAGTCCCAAACTAAGCAAAGCTTGTACTATGGGTACGAGACAACGGATATAAACATACTTAAATACTTAATGCCAATAATAATGCCTGCACTATGCCAGAAACTTTGATTTACCAAAGATATTAGTTATTTTAACATGGTTGCATTATATCATTATTGTGCATTACATGTATTGTAAGTTCTTTTATTTGCTTTATTTTTTATTCCCAGATTATATTGCCTTCATAGTATACCATCGTGACGTAACATTTAAGACGTACCATTAAGAGCGTTTACGTCTAGCGTGGCATGTCAAGTTTAGGTAATTTCGATGCTATTTTTATTCACACTAAAATAATTATGACTGTGTGCGTGTTCTCACGCTCTATAGTCAAACCAAAATACTTTGATCCACCATCGTAAAAGTGTGCCAGGCTGTCAAGTGACAGCCCAAAGAAACTATAAAATCTTCAAATCTTCCAACACCGACTCTATGATTATAAATAATGGTATACATTAGTCCTAATCAATAATAAATACGTAAATTCTTTATCAAATAGTAAATTATCAAAGGTTTTTTACTATTTTGAGAATATTTTATACAGCCTATGTTCAGCAGAAAAAAAAATGAATTTAATGGTGAGAGATTTTTTCAAATCGGTTCTATTCAAAACAAACTTTTCCTGTTTACTATTCTTTTTTATCCGGAAAATGCACATTCTTGGGGTTCTTCCTAAGTGANTTAGAAACCTGCCAACATCAAGAATGTCGCGCCTTTAATTTCGACACATTACTCGTATTGATGGTTGTCACGTTTTATTAATATAAAACGAGAAATCGTTTAGTACAAATGTACCTCTTAAATCTCGGCGCTGCCTAGAATAGTAATCGTTCAATACATCCAAATGGTTGTCATTTAGTGTTATGAACTTAAGACCTCTTGATGATAAGGGGAGATAGTGTTGTGGCTGTTTTAAGTAAACCATACTTACATAATATTGTTACTAGGGATATACAGAGTGGTATAGATCGTTTCATCCACGAAGACGCGCCTCCCACCACTTTTTGGTCGGGGGAAGCGCAGTTTGATCCGAACAATCCGAGCATCATTGTTGGCATTGGCAGCGTTGCAATTGGATAGTTGTTCGTGAGTGCGCGCGCACACTACAATGATGACGCTCGGATTGGTCGGATCAGGCTCCCCGCACCCCGCGCTTCCCTCGACCGGGGAGTGGTGGGGCGCGTCTTCGTGGATGAAACAACTATAGCTTCTCTATCAATTGACTCTGAATGACCGAGCACGCTTTCTAATAACCGGAAAATCCTCAACTCGTATCGAAAGATTACGAGTAACGAGATTGATTATGATTGGCTGTGCGACATAATGCATTACACTTATATTCTAAATATTTACGTCACGAATGAAATGATTATTATGTATATGACACCGTCTACTTACGAACTCAATACTTTAGTCATATGAAGTTAATACTTACTTAATAATTCATAATAATATACCGTGTATTGTGCGTTACCGCAGAAAAAAGATTTGTACTTATTTTTTGTAAAAATGACTATAATAAGGTAAAATATGGCAACAGAGCTCTGAATAAATTGCATACTGATAGGGTGTAAATGTTATGACTACAACACTAGTGTTTACGATCTAAAGTCCTTCGTGATATTCGATGCATTTCGCATTGATGACGTCATAGATAGTATTATGTTGCTTGTTTTTTATTAACAAAGATTCTTTTAGTTCTACTTCATTGACACGCCACGCCGCCGCGCCGGCTTGATTGTTGCATCGCATTGAGCAGAGTATTCTACCCCTCCTTAGCAGGAATTGATTTATTTCCAGTATGTAATGATTTAAAATTATTATTTTAACTGCATTGAATTATTTAAAGCACTAATACGCACATGAGTACAAATAGAATTCTTGCCAATATAGCGTAATGAATGATATAATACTACTATAGCAAGTTAGATACGTATGTATATTGGTGGCTTTTATACATTATACTATTGTGTTATGTAGCTAAAGTGAATAATCGTAGTTAAAATAGTAATCTATATGTTTCAAACACAAGTGCGTTGTAAAAAATAAACCTCACAGGTATAGATGATAAAACGTTATATACATACATTTATAGCTTGCAAGCATTTGATAGAATTATATGTAAGGGGTCTCATTGGGATTTAACATTAATTTTGTGTTGGTTTACTGCCGGCGTACACACTGGAGCACGTAACTGCATGCTGCGCCCGTAAGAAATTAGTAGTTTGCAAAGTATTCCGATTTTTTACTAGAGTAATATAATTCAGATACACATACTCTAATGTAATACATATATCGCCTCGCCAATTTATAACAATTGATATTAAAATATTTTTATGAATGTTGTTTACACATAAGTAATTAATTTCCGTGTAATGGGAGTCAAATGTCTTGTTGTGGTTTATTGTGGTGCACACATACATACTTTGACCAATTTAGTGTAAACTTATCGATCGGTTTCAATAACGCAATATGTGATTAATGTTCAAATCTCAATCATGTAGGTAATTTGTATTTATACTAATAATGCTGGAATAGTGATTTAACGACGTTACCTGTTGCATCTGTGACGGGTCGGATCTTGGGCCAATATTGACACTTGCCGTAAGTGGTCGCCTACCGCGTAATACATTGGGATGCGTACTACAAAACCACGTGAAACTAGATTCTATCTTAGTCATAGATTGTCCTGTGATTGGTCAAATCTATTGACGCGAGACAGAGTTCTGATGCTGTTCTGCCGTGTAGCGTTAAAGTAGCACGTCTTTGGCGGCCCTTAGTTTGGCGGCGATCGTCGTCGTGTGGGCAATGTGTAACATTGGTCCATTCAGGCCCTATCCTGCGGAATTTTTATGACTTATCTACACTTATGAAATATACAAAATCTAAAGAAAATTAGTATTAACCAGTATATTAACGCCCAGTTATAATAATAATCAGATGAATAATGATACATAATTATAAGAATAGCGATAATGTGATCTTTTTCAAAATACCAATTAGCTGGCTGTGGGTTGGCTGAAGCGAATATGCATATTTACTCAACAATATAACGTTAGTTAAATGTAACTATTGCTACCGCCAATTAATATAATCTTATACTGAACAAACGTATGGTTCTGATTAAAGATAAATCAATGTAATAGATAATCACATAATGTAGCTGTCGATACGTTTTTGTCGAATTGTCTTATGTAGGTCAGTATGTAGCTCATAATCTAGAATACTGTCGAATGAAGTATTTTTGTCACGTCAGATACATACATTGAATAAACTATTAGATATTTTGACTCATTGAATTGCAACTATTGTTGACTATACGTTTGATAACCTTATTTGCATAGCAATTACAAAAATAAGCGTTATTACAGAAATAGAGTCGTGTAGAAACCTATACTTCAGAATAATGAACACCAATATTATATTAAGTGTACCAGCTTTTTCATCTATCATGTTGTTATAAATCTTAATATTGGGGAGGCAAAATATAGTTAAGGCAATATATCGTCAACTAGTTCTAAGCTACTTTGTGATATTATATTCAATATCAGTTATTATAACTTTCACCTCATAATTATATTATGTTTATTAAATCTATGAATTTCACTCATCCTGTCAATTTATATGTATTTATATGAAACTTCACCAAGTCTATTTACCAATTTTACATACAAGTTTTTTTATTGCCAGTAGATTATGTGACGTTAAATATGCAAAGTAAAATATATGAAGCATTGTGTATCAAATTATATGAAGTCTAATTTTTTCATAGTTTGGCTGTCGTGCATACATAATATAGGTAACCACAAAATTAGCACATGTGGACATTATAAATTGAATAAGTCATATTTCTGTTACAGGAATATACACTATAACCTACACGATTTTTATTCACTTGTGTAATGTATAGTTTCACTTGAGTTACAATAAACTTCTAATTCACATTGTCTCGGTTGGGCTTTACAGTGCCCTATATGTGATGTAACTCATATTCTAAATAGGTAGGTAAGGATCTAATAGTCAGAAGCAAGAAAAGATTGGATAATTTACATGCCTGCAATACAATTTTATACGAATATACTAGGTATTGTCGAACGAGATGAAACGGACGGTCAAGCATCTTCATTGTTATAATATTAATCAATTACAAATTGTAAAGTGCTCTTAACTTGCTTAAAATTTAATATGGACTAGCCAAGGCATACTTTATAGTTCTTTCTTGCTCTGACTACACTATTGTTTTGTTGATGCCTTCCCCAAGTAAGAGCTATTTGAGTCCGCAACATGGTAGGTTAAAAACACCGATTGTGAAAACTTGTGACAAAGGACAATGGGCAAAATGGTACCCGGCTCCAATAGATATGTGTCTAGTATCGTTTGAAAGGTCTTACCAAGATGAACAACTTTTACTATGACCACCAGCCTCAGATCTGGTTGTGTACGAAGATATAACATACTTTTTTGCAGAATGGTACCCGGCTCCAATAGTTATGTTTGTAGTGTCATTTGAAAGGTCTTACCAAGACGAACAACATTTACTATGGCCACCAGCCTCAGATCTGGTTGCGTTCGAAGATAAAGATACTTTTTGTGTAACCTAAGTATCATACAGTATGAAGGGGGACGCGCTAGGGGCAGGGCACCGACGAGATGGTCGGACGCGGTGAGGAAGACGGTGGGCGGGAGTTTGCATCGTGCGGTCCACACAGCTTATGACCGCAGTCTGTGGAGGAACACTATCTGTGGTCGCGATCCTCATCAGTAAGGGACCGAGGAAGAAGAAGAAGAAGTATCATACCGGCCGAGTGACCGACGACCTCATAAAGGTAGCGGGAAGGCGCTGGATGCAGGCCGCCACCAACCGGCCATTGTGGAAATCATTGGGGGAAGCCTATATTCAACTGGACGTCCTATGGCTAAAATGATCATAATGATGATGATGAAAGCGAATAAAGGGCTAGCTAGGGTAGTTCATCGTAGGTATAATCCTTTCCTTTTCAATGCTTCTTTTAGTTATATTAATAGATTGTAGTCATAATACATACTCGTATACATGGATGATTGTGTTATACTTTCAATATAATACTTAGTGGAATTACTGCTTTCAAAACGTGAATTAGAACTGGCCCCATAGCAGACATTTT